GAAATCCACTATCATGTTTTATAGCAAATAAATTTATGAGTCATTTTGAAACAAAAGCAAAAGAAGTAATGGCATATTTTCCAAGAACCTGGTTAAGGTACGGACGACATATTTGCAGTTTTTGATCAGAAAGAAAACCTTAATGACTTTGTCAACAAATTGAACTCTTTTTTTTATCTGTCAATAAAATTCACATATGAGGTAGAAAATGATAAGAAGATCTCATTTCTAGATGTAATAATCCTACGGATTGATGAAAATTTTTAGTTTGATATTAACAGAAAACCAACCCACGCCAATAGGTTTATCACTCAAGATTCTCATCACCCTCAGGGCCGGATTTAGCATTTTGGCGCCCCTAGGCCCAAATAATTTTTCCGCCCCCTGTTCTGGTCACAGTTTCTTTCCTACAAACCTTTATTAAAAACTATATCATGCCTAAAGGCCTATGTTAATTGCTTGAACACCACTCCCCGTCGGAATGTTACCATTGCAAGTTTTTTTAAGAATTATCTTGTTTAGCCTCAACAAAATGCCGTCTTAAACACTTTTGGCAATTTTATGCTTTTAGCAAATGCTCACGCTTATGGGACTGAAACAAAACAATCCAACCCACAGAGCATTTCTGCAAAAAAAGCATGTCCACTAATTCCAATTTCAGGCCCCAAAACATGAACTTCATAACAGTACGTGATACCATAGATTACCATAGGCCTTTAGTAGATTTGTCATCCTTAGGGATTAGCTGAAAACAATTCTTTTTATTTAAGTTATATGTTATTTAAACCTAGTTTGTCCAAAATAAAACGATCTAATCATAAACAATAGGTCGTCCCCTGGTTATATTAAATCTTATACTTATCTTATCTTATCGTTATTCTGGTTATAACTAAAACCCTCACAACGACAACATAGAATAATAGAAACAAAATTACGTCAAAACTAACTTCCAGTGTGACCAACATATATAAACTAGACATGAAAAAGTATATTTAGGATTGACAATATGATAACAGGTCGACTTGAGTTTATGGTTAATCTATGGTGGTACAGCATTCTGATTATATTTGCAAAGCAATAGTCCGGCCAACCATAATTATCCTCAGGTCTGAGCTGAGGAGGAAATGACATCAAATGGTGCTTTGGAGGGGATTTAATTTTTCTAAAACCTGTTGCAAACTCAGATATTTTTTTTGTTATTGAATTTTAAAGATAAACTTATTGTATTTTTAATATTCAAAACGTATTATATATTTTAACTTGACCCTGCAGTGCAGGTTGCTGTAAACTGATTAAAAGATTAGTTAATACATTTTCTTTTTGTTAAGTAAGGGTGGTAACGGTGTCTAACACGCATACGCCCCCAATCACTCAGATCAGTGGCGCCGAGCCAGCATAGTGGCAGTGCAAAGAGTACAGTGGCAACTGGCAATACGATGCGGGATGCGTACCGCTCGGGCGCTCGACAACATCCCTACAGCCTACTCCCGTATAACCAATGTTCGTTATCAATGTTGTAAATAAATTGATGCATAATGTTGAAAAACTGTTTATATTTTCTAACGGTTATTTCTTTTAATTAATTTAAAAATTATAATGCTTTATTGGCAAGAGTTTTTTTTTTTATCAACTCACAAACTATGTTAAGCTATGGCTATTTATTTTACTTTTAGATATTTAAAAAATATTTTTCCTCTCGGCCGTGCGCCCTCTGGGAGCTTGCGCCCATAGGCCCGGGCCTACCGGGCCTATTGGGAAATCCGGCCCTGATCACCCTCCAGAACAGAAAAGATCAGCTTTTAATTCAATGATTTATTTAGCCTCTTAAATACCCCACTGTCACAAGAAAATTATAATAAAGAGCTGAACTAAATAAAATACACAACAAAAGCAAGTCACCCACTACACCGCCTTTGACCGACGCTAGAGGAAAAACAAAGATATACGAAAGGCATTGCCGAGCGTATCTGATCGGTTACGGCAGCACCTGAACACCGCTCGGGCCGTATCCGATCGGATACGTCCGCAGTGAACGTGTTAAATCTGTTCTTTACGTGATTTATTGCTGTACAGAGTTTGGAATTTTTTTATTTGAGTAAAAGTTTGAGTGATTTTAAATGTTACAGTTTTTATTACTACTGAACCAAGGTTAATGACTTAACATATCATGATTGCGCAATAGCCTACTTTTTTATATTTTGATGATGTAATATGCGAATTATCACATTAACGTCCATTTACAGTAGACCTCCTGATATCCAGCCTTTGGTTTTACCGGTCCTCTGTTTAACCGGTCCATTCTATGAAGCCAATATCAAAATGTTTTTCTCACAGCTTACAGACGGTGTAGATACAAGCACTAGTCTTTGAGCTTGAGCCTTCTCACTATTTAACTGTTTGTTTATACATTTTACTGAGTCACTGCTTGGTTGAGCTAGTTGGCCTAACCTCTGAACAGTTGGTTGATTATTTCCAAAGCAGGGTTAGTACAGAAGCCTAAATTGATTGTTGAATTTCACAAAATGGATAAGAAAGTTGAGTAGAAATGTATGTACCATTTAAGTCCTAACGATCTTCAAGGCCAATTTACTGTCATTTTTACCTTCATTATTTGTAAAATGTTTTTGTTTGGTACCTGCAATCTGGAATCATAATAATTTTATATCCAGTTACTTAACAACTTTAATCTACAAATATTTTGTTTCTTTTTACAAACATGCTTATTTTTCTAAAAATAATTCCACAACAGACTTGAATGATTCTTTTGACTGCATATATTGTTTACATATAATTATTAGGTATGAAGTGTCATTTTCAAAGTAGGTTGGTTTATCTGGCCAAATCGTTATCCGGCCAGGGGCTTGGTCCCTTGGTGGCCGGATATGAGTGGTTATACTGTATACAGTTATAGGATTTTTAATGGGGTTTTTTATGTCATATTGGATCAATCATGGTTTAAGTTATTCGTGGTCCCCCCCCCCATTACCCTGGAAAATCGAGGTTCTACTGTAATAAGAATGATAAGGAATGGGATTATGATAGGGATGGACGGGTCCCGAAATTTCGGGAATTTTTCAGGAAAAAAATATTCCCGATTATCGGGGCGGGATTACATTTGATTCGGGAATTTTTCGGGACGGGATTTGGTCCGATCGCCGGCGATTTTGCCGCTTCGCGAGTGCTGATGACGCCGCTATTGCGAACGCAGGAGACGAAGTTGTTTCGACGATTGCGCCGTGACCGCGGAGTCAGAACGACGATCATGCCGTGACCGCGAGTCATACCGACGACCACGACGTGACCGCGGAGTCATACCGACAATCACGCTGTGACCGTGAGTCATACCAACAATCGCGCCGTGATCGCGAGTCATACCGACGATCATGCCGTGACCGCCAGTCATACCGACAATCACGCCGCAACCGCGGAGTCATACTGACGATCGCGCCGTGACCGCGAGTCATACCGACGATCACGACGTGACTGTGAGTCATACCGACGATCACCCCGTGACCGCCGTAATTTTGACGATAGCACCGTGACCGCGAGTCATTTCGACCGCGAGTCACAAGTTTCTACAGGTACCTGTAAATTGTTACCCATTTTTTGGTTTTTATAGATCAGTGCCACAAACGGTAAAGATTGATTTTGTATGCCTTTTTTGGTAACTGCAATAAGACTTTCTTTTTATGCACGAAAAAAATCCCGTCCCGTCCCGTCCCGAAAATCGGGAAGGAAATAAAAATCTCGTCCCGTCCCGTCCCGAACTAAAAATTCAATCCCGTCCATCCCTAGATTATGACAAATAAGACACTCATTCTTGAGTACTGTTAACCCTCCAGCGGGCGCCTGCGGAGTTTTCCTCCGCACTTGTAGTGTTTGTTAATATAAATATGCATAATGGGTGTCGGCAGTCGTGTCCAGCTCTACACTTCACGCACCTCATCCTGGGAATGCTCCTAAGCTATTTTTACCCCCGAATTCCTCCTCATTTGGTTGTCAGCTGCAATTCAGTGACGCGGTGTCAATTTGCGGAGGTTTACTCCACGTGCGCCCTATCGTGTAAGTCCTTAGCGCAGAGTTTATTTCCTCATGCACTCTTGTCAAACTGCGTGTATATTTTATACATACAACATTATAAACTTGTTTAAATGTATTATTTCATTTATAATTATTATTATCAAATATATTTTGTTTGCATGTAAATGTATAACTGCATTATTGCGGAACAAAACTCCACAAGCCTCTTAACATACCTTTATACTAGAAAATTGCTCAATATGTTTATTTGAAATGTTACTCATACTAAGTTAAACAAATAATGTTATTAACAAAGAAATTAGGTTTCTGATTAGGTTGTTCAACTCTTACATATAATATTTCGTTATAACAAGTAAAATGGGTAAAATTTATGCTATTTAGTGTTGCGGAATAAAACTCCGCATGCGCCCGCTCCCGTTTTACTGGTAAAGCGCCTCCTCGAGGGTTAAGTGAAACGTATTGGAGTAGTAAGGTCGCAGTTGCCTCTGTCGGATGCAAGGCTAATGTGGTTTTTCTTATTAACGCTTAACTACAAACTTATTGTTTACCTGTTTCTTATTCTAGTTATGTGTTTTATTTTTATGTTTAACGATGCTTTAATTCACATACAAACAAAATCACAACAAAGGGACAAGAGAAAAATAATAAAACAGCATATATAATGATAATATGAATATGTTATCCCACTCTAACAACTTGCTTACATCACGTCTGAACATAACCTGCTCACATTGCACCAACGTAACTATTGTGCACCATCTCACTTGTCTCATTAGTATTACTGTTTAATTTGAGCAAAACTACATTTTTACTACAATGGTAAATTTAAAACAACTAATTATTTTAGGCTGTACTGAACTGAATTGGTATCGAGAAAAATGCCATATAACGAATCAATGATGGTAATTAGGCTAGAACTGTACTGTACCGACCCCTATTGAATATTAATGTTTTGTTACCTGACAAGGGTTGTAAATACAGGGGGAGGGCGCAGTCGCTCCAGCTTGACACACGCTCAATGGAGTGGAGTACAGGGACAGAGGTAATGTCACAGGAACCTGTAGTAACAATCAACATAATAGTCAGATGTGGTCAGAAAATAAACATCTTAAGCAACTTTCACATCATTTCAAAGGTTTCTTCAAATTTTCTTAATATTGTAAGATAAATAACTACTCGTTATTTTTTGTTTCATTATTTTAGGATGATAGGGATTGTACTTTTAGTTAACCCATTGGCCTATGAATATTTTTTTGGTTCCCTGCGGTCACTGAGTTATTGTATTAAAATATCCAAAATGCAGGGTTTCTCAACTGTTTACTCAACCCTCAACTTCAAGAAACGTTTTAATCTGGCAAAAATAAGGAGAATCATCAGCCAGTATCATGAGGGATTAATGTGTTTTCTCTAAGTACTATAAAGGGTATGTACAAAATTGGTACAATAAATTTCTTACAATAGCCTAATTATTTTTGGTAAAAGTAACCAAAAGGTTATCTATAAACTATAATTAATCCTGTATCTTGCTTCCTTTGCCACCATTAACGCTTGGTTTAGTGGCTGGTCCTTGTAATGAATTATATAAGATTGACGTGCATTACACTATTGACAAATTAACTATTAAATATTTATTAAAACACTGAACTGAGTCATACTGCAGGAAAAACAGCCGTATTTAAACAGCCTAAAGTAGGTCATTTCTCCCTAGGAAGTGAAAATCAGCTGATTTAAATTCAGTTGTAAGCTTCAATTGTATGCAATCACATGTATCGAAAGTATGTATCACATTTTTTAAATGGGTTGTAGCTTGTGTTGGTTAGTCTATGGTTGTAGCTGAGACGTTTGGGGGTGTAATGATTTAAATAAAAACTACATTTGGGAGTGAAATAAAATCCGGCCGACTACATGATTGCGGTTTGCTGGAATATCGAGGACTGGCGAGTAAGGAAACTTTTGGATCGGCGGTTAAACGTTGAGGGAAAAGTGGCGTGATGGGTTGTAGCCAATCCGGGAGCTTTATTTGAAACATACGATTTGACGTCACAGTCGCCTGGTCGCAGTCAGGACACAAATGCAAAACATATTGCCAACTCTTTATAACTCAAATCTAAATATTGTAAAAATAGCAACATTATGGTACATTATTGTATACACTACAATCAATATATAACGACATATATAACACCTCCCTTCTAAATATCTTGACTCATAATCATAATATGATCTTTGAAATTAAAATGATATTTTTATGGATATAATTTTCTATGAAATTAATTAAATAAGTTAAAGAATATTTGATCGGAACAACAATAGTTTCACACAATAGAGTTACATAAACAATGACAACACAAACTACTAAATAAAAATGAAAGCATGACTAAAATATTCGTTGTGAAAGAATCTGTACAATATTTACAAATCCAACCCCGTTGTAGGTTTTCTATCTCTTTCCGGATAACGCTTAACAATAGGCTGAGCTGCTCTGGGTCTGGTGGGAGAGGGAGAATGAACAGCTGGACTGGGCATCCTGGGTAAGGAGTGACGTGACGGAGGGGTATGACGTGTGAGGAGGGGGGACGTCCCGCCAGCGTCCTGCCTCGTGACGTCGGCTTCCATCAGCTGTGGCTGCATCGGGCTCCTGGGGCTGGATACACCACGTGACTCACCTATTGGAGTTGCCACTGCTACGGCTTGGCTGTCTGCTACTGTTGGTATTGATACTGGGGTATCAACAGGGATCAGCTGATCTGTGTGGCGTTTCCAAACAATGCCTGAATTTAGTCTAACAGTATACATTGTTGGACTTATCTGCTGCAATATGGTTCCCTCTATCCATTTGTCTCTAGCTCTATAGTCTCTTACTAGAACTAACTGATTGGTAAATAAACATTTAGTTTTACTACCTCGGGCATACATCTTTTGTTTGTTTTGCTGTTCCTCTACATGCCTACCTAGATCAGGTCGTAAAAGATCTAATCGTGTTCTCAAGTTACGACTAAACATAAGCTTAGCTGGTGTCTCGTTAGTTGTTAAATGAACTGAGTTACGGTAATCAAACAGAATTCTGCTTAAAGCTAGGGATACATAAACATTTTCACGAAAAGCACACTTTGATTTATTCTTAGCGTACCTTACCGAGTTTTCAGCCTGTCCATTTGATTGGGGGTGATATGGGGCTGAAATGGTGTGTTTGATACCATTACACTTAAGAAAGTTTCCAAATTCAACTGAAGTAAATGGAGGTCCATTATCACTGTGTACTGTAACGGATAATCCAAATCTAGCAAAAAAGGCTTCTTAGGTTATCTATAGCTAATCCAGCCGAAGTTGAACTTGTTTCAAAAACTTCCAGCCACTTAGTGTACGCATCAACAACAACAAGGTACATTTTACCCTTGAAAGGTCCCAAATAATCTAAATGTAACCGCTCCCATGGTCTGTTGGGATAATGCCAGTTATGTAGTTTGACTTTGGATGGATTCGCTCTTTCCAAGAGACAGGGAGAGCAGCTATTAGCAAGTGCTTCTATATCATGATCAATGTTAGGCCACCACATGTATGATCTGGCAACGCTTTTCATCTTTACTATCCCCATATGACTCGAATGCAATTCTTTCAAAACATAAGCACGTAACTTAGCAGGAATTACTACTTTATATCCCCACATTAACATTCCTTGCTCAACAGCTAGCTCTACCTTCCTCTGAAAATAAGGTAATAACTGTCTACTGTCATCAGGAAGAATGTTAGGCCAACCGTACATCACATAGCCTAAAACTTTAGTCAAAATTGGGTCTTTTTGCGTTTCTAGCCTTACATCCTCCCACGTTACAGGGAAAGAACTCTCCTCAATGCACTGTAAATAGGTACCAACCCATAGTAATTGGTCTTCACTAGGGTGTTTAATATCTAACGGTAACCTAGATAACGCGTCTGCGCTATTTGCATTAGATCTCACATACTTAATGTCATAACTATATCCTGATAAAAACAACGCATACCTTTGAAGTCTGCTAGCAGCAAAAACAGGAAGTCCCTTCTTAGGTCCAAATATACTAACTAACGGTTTGTGATCACATTTCAATGTAAAGTGTTTACCAAACAGATACTGGTGGTATTTACGTACACCGTAAACAACTGCTAGGGCTTCCTTATCAATCTGACTATAGTTTTTCTCAGCTGCGGATAGAGTCCGAGAACTAAACGATACTGGTTTCTCCACGCCATCTTTATCAATTATGCTCAATACACAGCCTATACCAGTACTGCTCGCATCGACTGTCGGCACAGTCGGCGCTTGGGTATCATAATGCGCTAACACAGGCGCTGAACTAAGCAATAGTTTTACCTCATTAAATGCTTGCATGCATTTATCATCAAATTTAAAAGCTACATCTTTTCTCAATAGATTATGATTATACAAAGGGCTTAAAATACTTGACAAGTTGGACACAAATCTACCATAGTAGTTAATTAGGCCAATAAATGACTTGACTTCTGTGACATTTTGTGGTACTGGTGCATTCACAATAGCCCTAATCTTTGATGTATTGATGTATATACTTCTTTCACTGTATTCAAATGAGAAACGTTGTCACAATTAGAGACAAGGATATCATCGAGAAAATTGGCCACACTTGGTAGTCCCTGCAATACCTGTTCAATTTTTCTCTGAAAAATACCGGGTGCTGACGCAATACCATATGGCATACGATTATATGAAAATAAACCCTTGTGCGTGCTAATTGTATAGAGCTTCTGCGCCTCCTCATCCAATCTTAATCGCATGTACGCCTGACTAAGATCCATCTTACTATAAAAATCACCCTTTTGGAATTCATTAAACAAATCTTCGATTCTAGGGAGGGAGTAGCGATCAATCTCTAAGTAGGGATTTAGTGTAACTTTAAAGTCACCACAAATTCTTAAGCTACCATCTTTCTTTAAAATAGGTACAATAGGTGTAGCCCACTCTGAACTTTTAACTGGGTACAAAATATCTTCATCAATCAACCTAGAAAGCTCTTGTTCGACTTTTGACTTTAAAGTGAAAGGTAGAGGTCTAGGTTTACAATACTTAGGAGCACAATGCTCTTTGACATTCACCCATTTTGTCTGTGAACACCTCTGGAAATTCCTTAACTAACTGGTTTACTTGTTTCTCAAAGTTTTGCTTCTGACCAGATTCATTGTCGCATTTAGTGACATACAAGTTGTTTGATTAAAAAAGAGATTTCAACATTAAGAGCGGATAACCAGTCTCGCCCCATCAATGGATGTGAAACATTTTTAATTACATACAAATCAAGGTCATTAACATTAATTCCCTCGTAAAATACATTTACCTTAATTTTACCTACAGGTTCAATAGGTGCATTAGTGTAAGATCGGAGTGATAAATCACTCAGCACAAGCTCTTGACCTTTGAAATACTCATCATAACAATTTTCACTAATAACACTAACTGAAGCGCCAGTGTCAACTTCAAAGTTAAGCATTTTGTTCTGAACGTTTACGTCAATTCTGACAGGTCACACTAATCCTATATTTAACAGAACTATAAGTGTTAGAAAAACCAACAACAACTAAATTCAATCACATGCTAATAAAATTAACACCTGTATTGTGACATTATCAACAATATTTGATTGTGACATTTATTAATTCGGCTTATATTTCTCTTAACCAACGGATTATTCATCTGCAGAAGAAGTTCATTGTGCTCTTATTGTGTCTAATAACATCCAAACACAGAAACATTGCCTAAAATAGTACCTATATCTTGACAGATGTTTTGCAGTGGCCTATTACGGACCGTGTCCCACTTGGTTGGCCTTAAGTGAGATTTGTGAAAATAACACTACACTTTGACTGTAAAACAAATTTCACAAAGAGTAATTACCATTTAAGCAGTTACTGTTACAACAAAGGTCGTGTTCCTTTTCAACTAAATATCCTCATCCTTTCTAAGATGCGTTGATTAACAACAATGCATGTAAACGTCACTATTTGCGTAACAATTTACAGTATTTGCTCTTTGGAAATGCAGCATTGCTTTTTCATTTGCATTATTTGTTGCAAATGAAGCCGCATGACCATATGAACAAGGTCCCTGATCATTTCAAGAATAAAAGCCAGCTTCACTACAAGTATATTCCACTACACCTAACATTCCGAAGATAAATTATATTGAACACTTTATGCAATTGATAAGGCTGAGACAACTGACATCCGCATGTCATGGAATCAAAGTTATGCTTAATACTATTTAAGATTCTTCCAAAAGCATTCTTTATATTATATTCATCAAAAAGAAGATAAACCAGTTAACAATGACGGAAGGGAATAAGAAATATGTTATTTATTGAATGATCAACCATATTTTGTAACTAACACAAAAGTCATTATTGTTTCTACACCTATTTATTACTCATTAGACAATGCTAAAATGCTCACATTTTTGTATATTTTAACTCTTTTTGTCGCACTTAGAAGAATTGTCGTAAGCCTTTAAAGCAACCGTCGATTTCGACGGGTTTCACCTAGTTGATAATAATACATTAGTTCATAGGTGAAGGTAATTGTAAATTATCTATTGCATGCACCCCACGTTTTACTTACAAGTATTTATACTCTCCACATATTTATAAATTATTTTCTAATTTTTAGTGTGTTTAAAAATGTTTTATTTTTAAAAAGTTTTTTATTTATAAATTATTTTTTATTCCTTGCAACAAGGTCTCTATAAATATTACCAATTTACACACTGCAATCCCCGTTGTTCGGTTGTTGAGGAACTTCTACGATTTCAACTGGGATTTCAGATGAAAATCCAATAAACTTACTGACTCTATGTAGCAAACTGTTGGGCATGACGTAAGTTATACGTTCCTTTTGAGTCAAATTAAATAATAATATTATGATGAATTGTTGACACAATTCATGTAAGGGTTTTTTTTTAAATTTTGTTTTATTTCATAGTTACCTGGGTAACATCCATGACCATGGCAGGCTGGGGCTGAGGCTGATGATTGGCCAGAAAACTGTGGTGATTCAGCTGGAAACCATCAGAGTTCCAATCACGAAAGCAGTGACGTCTTATAGGTGGGCTAAAACAAACCAAAAATCCATGTCATCCTTCAGACTTGAGCAACTTGTCCTTACTTACTTGTTTACTGCCTTGGCCACTTGTATCCAAGCTGATACTTGGCTTCACCAACTTGTTGTCGCCAATTCTCTCGGACCCTCGAATCTCCCTTTAAAAGTCTCGTTATTTCCATATCTTTCCAGACTTGATCCCACCACTTGGCCTTTGGTCTTATAAGAAAGTTCTACGTTAATGTATATTTATCTTGATGATAAATCTGCCATAGAAAAACTATGAAGGATGTTGCTAATGCTCCATACAGACACACACAAACAGGGTGGCCACACGACTCGGAAAATATATATTCATTTTTCTTGTTTTCCCAGTAGCAAATTCTGGTTTTCAGGTTCTGATTCCTGTTTGCCAAATTTACTAGGGGGCTGCAGGTCCCCGCTGGCCAACAGTTGGCCTGAGGGATTGGTATGGGGGTCAATCTATATCAAGTGATCCAATAAAAAATAAATTGGTTGCTTAACCATTTTTAATATATTTTTTTTTTTATATATTGTTCCCTCATGTTTTGGAAGTTCAAAAATGATTTTATTAAATTTTCATCCCTTCCAATTTTTTTGTAGCGGCCATTTTTGTCTTGCAGCGCACGGTTATTTTTGAGTTTGTAGACGTTAACGTAAACAAACATATATTTTTTTCTACTTATGTTACACAAATGCAACCAAATTCATTTTGTTCATAATTTTCCCATCTTTAATTTTGGTTATGATCATAATCAGCCTAATTTGTACCCACATGGGTGAAAAAAATGTTTAAAAACAAGCAACGGAAACAAGTAAATTTCACTTTTTGAAGCCTATTTTTTCCATGAAGGATTTGTAAATTACTGATAACTAGTGGCTTGTAGGGGCAATAGCCCCTATATTCTAGTAAATATTTGGTACAAATTATAAGCCTCATGGGTTACCCTACCTTGAATTTTAATTTAACATTTTTGCATATTATGATATGTATAATAGTTATTACACATATCATAAGTAATGCATAAGTAATGCATTTAATTACCTGCATAAGTAATGCATTTTGATGTCTACTCTGTTTAAAAGAAAAATTCCAAAGGACATGCGGTGTGTTTATAATATATACTTTCTAATCATAATACAACTATGGAACATTTTCCAATAATTGTCTTCATGACTATTAATTAAATATATATATAGATTTCTTTAAATATAGACAAATCCACTTAGAAAAACACATAGAGATAATGTCATCATCCAAATTGTAAAATGCTATAACAAAATCTCTCTGAAACAACATTTGTCGTATAGTATCCATTTTGGTCTATTCCTTGGTCTTTATTTGGTTCTAGTACTATTAACATCATCTGGCCTCTTTGCAAATCAAAAAGCAACATAAGTTGACCATGGTTGAACACTGGTTTTTTTCAAATAAATGCCAACTTTTGTGAAGGTTCGGCCTTGCGCCACAATTTCACCAAATCAAATTGCGCAATGTACCACAATGAATGCACCCTTCGTCCATTGGTTCTACGCTGTGTAATGCAATCTCATTTAAAAGTGGTAATCTATACACAGGAATAAATTCATGTTCATTCGATGCTCATTTATTCTTCTTCCATTAATATCGTGCCAAATCTGGCGCCTGTTCTCATTTTGAGGAACAATACCTCTGAGTGGTAGTCTTCCGACATTATACATTATTACTGTGCAAAAGAACAATCCATTGTAAAGTATTCAGTTTAAAAGCATCAAATTGTTTGTTCAACAGATTTTATCTAATTTTCACTTTGTGTTGTTTACTACTTCACTAACAATTTTACAATAACAAAATAATGCACATTCAGGGGTGGTTATATTTTTTTAAATTTATATAATCACAGCTGTGTTTACACTTAATAAAAAGACATAACATTAGATTCCAATGCTATTCAAATGTGAATTATTTTAATCTGTAGCAACCTTTTGGTACATAATTAAGAAAAATGAATATTTTTCCCCAAAATTTCATGCCCAGGCCTTTAAAATAAGACCTCTCCCAGCTTTTTACGGCCTCCCGTTCACTCACAATTTCATTGTAAAATTTTGGGCTTACGGAATTAGATATATAGATATTTTTTATTCAACTACATATACTAGTATACTCTATGTAGCTAGAGTTATAACACTGATATGTGTCCTTTACCCTAATTTTGACAATTTTTTGAAAATATAGATTTTTCAATTTTCGTAAAGTTTGGAGCTTAATATCTCTGATGGGACATGGGATAAAAATTTGATTTTTTCACAGGATGTTCTTCTGTATATGAGAAAACCACAGTAAAAAATTTATCATTGATATTTTACTGTGGTAAAAGTTATGAATTTTTGGAAACAGTAAGAAAACGCATATTGTTTAGTGTAGTAGCGACTTTTCTACAGGTTAAATAGTGCTCTTTATTAGTTCAAAATGCAGACAATTTACTACTTTTAAATAGATAACAAATACTTTACACCTTTAACTATAATATTTTAAAAATAACAAATATTATTAGAAATTTTATTTGTTTAACAAAATTAAAATCGTATAAATGTTAAGTATAACACCACTTTCAGTGACGGTATTAATCATATCAATACTTTGGTAAAAACTTTTCATTTTGAAAGGCCTTTAAAAATTCATAATTGTATTGTGCTTCAGTAATTGAATGTTTTTAACTGTAGGCCTACAAGTAGGGCTTAAAATATTGCTGGCTAATATTATATAATTAGGCTAAACATTTGGTTTTAAAATGTAAAGAAACCCACAAAATAATAGAACAACAATTTTATTATGTGTTATGTGTTACGACAAACTAATCATAAAAAAATGAAAAAAACTTATATTTATTTCATGTTTTCCTAGTTGGAATGAGCATTAAGAAGAATACTTATTTCATCTGACAGTTTTTGTGATATATTGTATACTCTTCCAGTTGCCGTTTTGAGTTCTTGAAATGACAGTTTTTTTTTAAATGTTGTTAATCGGTACACACACTTTGTCACTGTCAGACTTTCTAAAAGTTGTTCTTGGTCCAGCAGGATGGTAAAAGTGCATATACACATCACTATTTTCCAAACTTAATTGTTCAATTTGTGCCGACCTCCACTGCCCATCATATACACAAGCCACCAAGTCGTAAGTTTCTAGGGTCAATTGTAAAATTTTGCATATGCAATGGTCTTCATAAATGTCACTTTTTGATTTTATAAAGCACCTTATTGTGTTTTCTGAAACCCCATAAAATTTACCCAATTAACTCCTTGTTCCCTTGACTTGTACACAGTTTTCAAATCTGGTTTTAAGTTCTTCGACGTGAGTCAGAATTTCTTCCTTCCGGACAAGAAATTAGGTTATCCCTTTGATGTTATGTTTGCAAAATTCGTACATTTCTCTACACTTAGAATCTGATCTGTTAAGGTTCTTTGTAAACTGGCCTTACTAACTTCACGTTTTGTTGTTCCCCCAATTCCATCGCATGCATTTTTGCCATGGCAGGAGGCAAAAAGTGCCACTCAGCATCTAATTAAAGTCCCTTTTGTGGTTGCAGAGATTTAAAAAGGTTTTCTTATTTTTACATTGGGAAACACTTCCGTCAGAAAAGTAAATAACCTTTTCAACTCTAGGCAAGTTTATAATATTAGTACAAGTTTATTTAATATTAGCCAGCAATATTTAAGCCCTACTTGTAAGCCTACAGTTAAAAACATTCAATTACTGAAGCACAATACAATTATGAATCTTTAAAGGCCTTTCAAAATGAATAGTTTTTACCAAAGTATTGATATGATTAATACTGTCAATGAAAGTGGTGTTATACTTACCATTTATAAGATTATAAATTTTTTAAACAAATAAAATTTCTAATAATATTTGTTATATTTAAAATATTATTGTTAAAGGTGTAAAGTATTTGTTATCTATTTAAAAGTGGTAAATTGTCTGCCTTTTGAACTAATAAAGAGCACTATTTAACCTGTAGACAAGTCGCTAATACACTAAACAATATGCGTTTTCTTACTGTTTCCAAAAATTCATAACTTTAACCACAGTAAAATATCAATGATAAATTTATTACTGTAGTTTCCTCATATACAGAAGAACATCCTGTGAAAAAATCAAAATTTTATCCCATGTCCCATCAGAGATATTATGCTCCAAACTTTACGAAAATTGAAAAAATCTATATTTTAAAAAATTGCCAAAATTAAAGGACACATATATCAGTGTTATAACTCTCGCTACATAAATGACTTTAACAGCTTTTTCACAGCAAGCTCAAAATGTTCCAGAAACAAACCAATATCACCATTAGGAGATCTGTAAACACTTAAAACTATAAGATAGTAATCAATTATTTTGGTACAGCTAAATTCACAATGAAGCTCAATGCAAAATAAGCTAACATCTGTTTTGGTAAATGTTAACCCTGGTAAATAAATGGTTTTATTGCTCATTTTTTAAACTGGCTTTAAGGGATTTAATTGTTGAGGAGTTGGCAGTCTTTCCCTCATAAAAATAGAGGAAGGATTAGTTGCAGGAGAGCAATCATGTACGTTTATGTGCTGTGCATCATGGTCTAAGATGGCTGTGATGACAACTGGTGTCACCATATTGTTCACAGCTTGCTCATCTTAAATTAGACTGCCATTTTGATTAGGGGTGCAATATTGACCTCTGGTTTGCGCCATTAAATTTCTCTTGATAACCCCTTTAAAATGAGGGGTCACATGATAGGTGTTTACTTTTAAAAATTTGGGGCTGCCCCCAAAATACCCCATTTTGGGGGCTGGGGCAAAGTTTTAGCTTCGATGAAAAAGTTCAATTTCTTATTTTGTAAATATATGCCGAGTTTGGTTTTCCTACTGCAACGCATTACAAAGTTAACTGGGAGGTTCCAGACTTTTGCCTAACCCCGTATTGTGTCCGTTAGCACGGTAACTCAAGCAAAAATGATCCGATTGTGATGAAATTTGGTACCAACGTGTAAACCTACGTTTATTGAAACAAATTCGCGAACCAGCATGATCGGACCAAGGAAACAGGGTTTAATGTTGAGATTTATGGGGTAAAAATTGGGTTTTCTCGTTTTTGACCCTCAAAACTTAAATATTCCCAATTTTATCTAGACCATTTTGAGGGGCTTAAAAAAAACAAATAATTGAAAACATTGAAGTGTTTCTGTATGATTATTGTTTATGGAGAAAATTGTAAAATAAAAATTCCCTTGTTATTCTTATGGATAATAAGTAAACTGTTGTAGTTTGTTTGTTTATGGATATATTTGGATCAACCCTGGCAAATCTATTTATTTTGTACTAAGCTAATAATATTTTACTAAAAAACCATTTTATTACCCTCCCTGTAGGCAGCAAACCTAGGTACTTGTTAAACCTAATGTTATTTGAATAGATTTAACTGAAGATCAAAAAAATCTGGCAAATCAAAATTCGCTTAGTCTGCAGGTTTGCTGTGGCGGGGGTATTTTACTATCTGACTGTGGTTAATCATTCAACTGCAGGATCAGATGTTATTAAATTACAATTCACATTTAAACTTTCATAAAGAAAGCTCACTAGATTTTTAAAAGTGAACTCAAGAAATATATCAATTGCTAGGGGGCAAAGCTCTAAATGAAATCTCCTTTTTAGTTACCATTCGTCCCACCAACAAATAAAAAGCTTTAAAATAACACCTAAATCGTAAAAATTTTTTAAGAGGGATGTTACTCATAAAACCCTTACTGTAATAAGTATATAGATTCTACCAATGTTTAAAGTGTGGACTCACCTGCCCCTACTGCGTGTGGGCTGTTGGTGACGTGAACGCTGATGTCTGTCCCAGCTAGGATGTGGGTGTGGATGAGCGTGCGGGTGCGGGTGCGGGTGAGAGTGAGGGTGAGGATGAGGGTGTGGGTGCGGATGGGGATGAGGTGGAGGTGTTGTAGCCAAGTCCACTATTTGATGGTGGGACAAGCGTCGCCTCTTTCTGCTTGGGCTCTCACTCTGAAATGCAAAATACCAATTTCAGAGTGAAGTATTTTATTGATACGTACTTGTCCAAGGCATTCTTTCTCTTGATTACTTATAAGAATAAACTTTTAAATTAATGAGAAACAAATTATATTAAAGAAAGGAATTCACACTTTTATTTTGATCACACAAACATAAACATGAACACAGCTTAATATAAAAAGTAGAACATATGATCTTGAGACAATGTACATTTAAACAGTACATAAGCAAAATTGTCAATGTTCCAATACTCCCTTCACAATTTTGAAACTATATGTCACAAAGTCCAATGTTTACTTTAAGCTGTGTAAACCTTACTCGATTGAGAGGTTTAGTAAGGATGTCGGCAAGTTGATATGTTGTAGATACATGTTCAACATCAACAAGTCCTTCCAAGAATTTTTCTCTGACGAAGTAATACTTAACTTCGATATGCTTGGTTCTGCGATGAAACTCAGGGTTCTTTATGAGTTTCACAGCACTGCCATTGTTAATTTTCAGAACAGGTGTCAATTGTGAGTGACAACTTATTTCTTCAAACAGACGTTTGAGCCATATTGCTTCCTTAGCTCCTTCACATGCAGCCACAAACTCGGCTTCTGTCGTAGACAGTGCTACAGAACGCTGTTTCTCGCTTCGCCAGCTCACTGGACCTCCAGCATAACAACTGATAAACCCATACGTTTATTTCCGAGTACTTTCCTCTCCAGCAATATCAGAATCAGTGAAAACATCCAGATTACTGCACGGTGAGGACTTGTACAAGATACCAACATTTATGGTTCCTCGAAGATATCTAAATATCCTTTTGACACTCAACCAATCAGCTTGAGTAGGATGTTCCATATTCCTCGCAGCCAATCCCACAGCAAAGGAAATATCAGGTCTTGATACACAACTTAAATGCATCAAGCTTCCAACAGCTTCACGATATGGAACTTTTTCACTGACAGACTCCACTGGACCATTGTTTACAGGTCTTTCACATGGTGTAGAAATGGAATTCGAGTCACTCATACCAAAACGTTGTAATATGCGTTTAGTATAGGCTGATTGACCAATCCATATTCCACTTGAACTTTTCTTGATCTGTAATCCTAAATAACTGTCAAGTTCACCAGATTTGATTTTAAAAACTTTGGATAAGCTTTTCATGAAGTCATCAATGATGCTATTGTCGGTCCCAGCTACTAATCCATCATCTACATAAATAAGTACAAGTAGCTTCTTCCCGTGATTGTTTTTATAAAAGAGACAGGGATCCGAGTTACTTCTCTTAAGACCTTGAGATTCAAGAAACTTTGTAAGTTTCAAGCTCCAACAACGAGGAGATTGTTTCAGACCATATAATGACTTTTGTAGTTTACACACACGTCCAGTTCCATCAGAATAACCTTCAGGTTGCTACATGTAAACTTCCTCTGAAAGATCACCATATAAAAAGGCAGTCTTCACGTCAAACTGACGCAATTCCAGATTTTCAACGGAAGCCGTACTTAGCACAGATCTAATGGTGTCATAACGTGCCACAGGACTAAACAGTTCATTATAGTCAATTCCTTCACGTTGTGCATATCCCTTGGCTACTAGTCGAGCTTTGTATTTTTCATGAGAACCATCAGAATTAGGTTTGGTTCGAAGTACCCAACGACATCCCAGGACACGAGCTCCTTCTGGTTTATCCACCAAAATCCAAGTTTTATTTTCATGGATGGATTTTATTTCATCGTCCATAGCAGCCTTCCAGTCAGATGCATCATCTAACACCATTGCTTCCTTGTAAGACCTTGGAAACATCTGTGTTTCTGATTGAACCAGCATCAGATCAAAATTTCCACTGCTCATCCAACTTGGTACACTTTTCACTCGTTTTCCTTGTCGCAACACATCTTTTGTGGTTTCATTTTTAGACAATACAACACACTCGTCTTGCTCACCTCCATCCAAAACAATAGGAGTTGCCACTTCATCAGTTTCCACTTCCGTGGTTTCATTTTGAGACAATACTACAAAGCAGTTAGTTCCAAATACTCTGAGGTGTTGCAGACCTGGAACACTCTTACCCGACCACAATTGCAGTGGTGATTTGCCATCTACAGGACTTGGTCCTGTAAGATTAAGGAGGTAAACTGCAGTATTACAAGCCTCACCCCAAAGAAACTTCGGCAAGCCTTTCCTCTGAAGCATAGAACGAGCAGACTCCACAATCGTTCGATTATCCCTCTCAACAGAACCATTCTGTTCAGGGCAGTAGGGAGAAGTTGTACGTATCTTAATACCATACTCCTTAATGATTTTCGTAGTTTCCTTTGATAGGAATTCAGACCCGTTATCAAACAACATTTCTTTTATGATCTTTCCACCTTGTTTTGCTTTTGGAAGGTCAGAAGCAAAACAAGGTGGAAAGTATTGTACTTGGAAGGTCAGAAGCAAAACAAGGTGGAAAGTATTGTACTTGGAAGGTCATACGTGAACAAAATATACAAAACAGGTCCAAGAACACTGCCTTGTGGTACACCTGATTCAATTTCATGCACATCTGTAACTACATCTTGATATTTAATTTGAAAAAAGCGTTTGGACAAATACGAGTTCAACACTCCATGTGTACGGGGCAGCAAAGTTTTAATTTTGAACAATAGTCCTGTGTGCCAGACTTTATCAAACGCCTGGGCTACGTCCAAAAAGCAGATGAACAAAAACGTTTATTTTCAAGATCTTCCTTGATTACATTCACTATTCTACTGTATGCACTTGCTCAATGGTGGAATGCTTTCGGCGGAATCCAAACTGATGGGAAGGCAACAATTCTTTTTCGTCAATTATAATTTGGAGTCTTTTAAAAAAAAGTTTTTCAACAACTTTTTAAACCACGGGAAGAAGAGATATAGGCCGATACGAGGATGCTTGATTTTAAAGGTTTACCAGGTTTCGGAATAACAACAATTTGTGAAACCTTCCACTGTATTGGGAAGTATTCGAGGCGTAAAACTGCATTGAAAAGTACTGTAGTGAATACTATTCCTTTTCTAGGCAGCTCTTTCAACACTTTACCTGTTATCAGATCATAACCGGGGGCTTTTTTGCCGTTTAAATCGTCTTTTATTACTTTAGCTACTTCGGATGGTGTAAACAATTTTATCGGTAAATCAAGTTGATTTGGAGAATCGAGGAATTCCAAAATTTCTTGTTCAACGTTTGAATTTATATTATATAGTTTGAACACTTCTTTGAAGTATGAAGCAAAGACATCTGCTTTCTCGATGTTGCTTTTGACCCAAGAACCATCTTCTTTTAGAATAGGTGGAATGCAAATTTGTGGACGTTTAAAGTTTTTTGTAACTTTCCAAAGGGAGTAGTCACTAGCTTCAGATGGAGAAAGGTTTGATGTGAAATCTTGAAATCTGTCATTGTTTAATTTAAACAGTAACCTTTTTAGTTGTTGAGTGGCCCTGTTTAGATTTCTTTTATCCGTCTGATCTCTAGAGTTTTGCCATATTCTACGGAGTCGGCGTTTTTCGGAAATTTTCCTATTAATTTCAATTGGATAGCTTATTCCTGATTTTATATTAAGTTTATTCTGGTCTGGAGTTGCTCTCCAAGCGGAGTCTTGAACTGTTTTGTTGAAATGTTCAACAGCAAGATTCAAATCTTCTTCGCTCTTCAAACACACAGAAATCTTTAAATTTTGATCCATTAATTCACGAAAATAATTCCAATCTGTATTTTTGTTACATAAATGTGGTGGAATAGGTTTGAATATAACAGTTGAAGCGATCGTTAAAATTACAGGTGAGTGGTCTGAGGAAAGGTCCAGAGATTGCTCGATTGTCACACAATCTCGGGATACACCTTTCGTAACAAAAAAATCAAGAAGGTCTGGTATTTTTTGACGATCAGAGGGCCAATATGTCGGTTCAACTTATTTAAATTTAAAAATGTAAACAACCTGAACTAACTGTCGAATGAATTTTGATTTCACAATTCCACACAGCTGGTTCAAACATATTAAATAATGCACGAATATTAGAACAGAGAGGGTAAGGATTATAAATTTAAAATAATGATGTTACCAGCCCGATTGTAAACATTATTTTACATTACTTAAATGTAGCTGTCAAACCATATGTTAATGTAATTTAATTAGTATGATTCAAAGTCAAAGTCAAAACATTCTTTATTCATTATAGTTTCACATTACATGAACTTGAATAGAGTCATGAGCTAAATTCAAAATTGCTTACTGCTAATTAAATACATAAAAAGAGTACTAAAATTACTTGACTTTAACTTTTAACAAAACCATGACTTTAAGGATTACAGTATTTGGAATTCAAATTAAGTTAGGCCTAACTGTTTTTTACTAATACTAAAGAATTCTGTTACTGAGTAGCAGGGAGTTCTTAAAAAATATTCCTTTAAGAGCTGCTTGAATTTATTAAATTTGGTTTCTTTTCGGATGTGAGCTGGTATAGACTGGAGAAATTTTAGCCCTATGTAAGATGTCTTTTTAGTGTAAAATTCAAGATTATGCCGAGGTAGGTTAATTTTTAATCTGGTGTTATATACTAATTGTTCTGTTGAGCTGGATGATAGTTGGATCTGTTTTGCATAAATTATTGTTTCATAAATATAAAGACTATAAACTGTTAATATTTGTAATTCACGAAAGATGCTCTTGACAGGCTCTTTCTTTTTAAGATTTTTCATCACCCTGATAGCTTTTTTCTGCTTAATTAGTACTTTATCTAAATTAGTTTTTGTTGTTGCCCCGTATAGAACAATTCCATATGAAATATGTGAATGTATTAATGAGAAATAAACAACTCTTAGAGTGTCTAAACTGCATACTCTGAACATCTGTCGCAGAGCATGGATACCGGAAGATACCTTTTTAACCACATAATTCACATGGCCCTCCTAAGATAGATGTTTATCGATAATTAGACCAAGAAATTTTTTTTGCTTTACTTGGTTTATTCTTTCTGATT